ATGCTGTTTTGATTCAGGGCTTCCATTAATGGAAGTTTTGGAGTTATTTACTCCTTGATTTTGGCTTGTCACTCCCAAAATGTAATGCTTTTCCTTCTTTACCTATATAATGTGACTTCTAATGATTGTTAGACATTTTGCATTCTCTGACTTCCAAATTTTGGGACTTTATGGAAGCCCTGTTTTTGATTTACAATTTCCAAGATCTTTTTTTCAAACAACTGTTGTTGTTTTTTATTAGCTCACCTGTCACAAAGTGACAGGGTGAGCTTTTGTGATCGCTTTTCGTCCGGCGTCCGTCCGTCTGTCCGGCGTCCGTCCGTAAACTTTTGCTTTAAATGACATCTCCTCATAAACCACTGAGCCAATTTCATCCAAACTTCACAGGAATGTTCCTTTGGTGGTCACCTTTAAAAATTGTTCAAAGAATTTAATTCCATGCAGAACTCTGGTTGCCATGGCAACCGAAAGAAAAATCTTTAAATATCTTCTGTTAAACAACCCTAAGAGCTAGAGCTTAAATATTTGGCATGAAACATCTTCTAGTGAGTGTCTACCAAGTTTGTTGAAATAAAAGCCCTGGGGTCAAAATTGGCCCCGCCCCGGGGGGTCATTGATTTTCCCTATATGCATATAGTAAAAACTTAAAAAATCTTCTTTTAAAGAACCCAAAGAGCTAGAGCTAAGATATTTGGCATGAAACATCTTCTAGTGAGTGTCTACCAAGTTTGTTCAAATAAAAGCCCTGGGGTCAAAATTGGCCCCGCCCCAGGGGTCATTGATTTTCCCTATATGCATATAGTAAAAACTTAAAAAATCTTATTTTAAAGAACCGTAAGAGCTAGAGCTTAGATATTAAGCATGAAACATCTTCTAGTGAATGTCTACCAAGTTTGTTCAAATAAAAGCCCTGGGGTCAAAATTGGCCCCGCCCCAGGGGGTCATTGATTTTCCCTATATGCATATAGTAAAAACTTAAAAAATCTTCTTTTAAAGAACCCAAAGAGCTAGAGCTAAGATATTAAGCATGAAACATCTTCTAGTGAGTGTCTACCAAGTTTGTTCAAATAAAAGCCCTGGGGTCAAAATTGGCCCGCCCCGGGGGGTCATTGATTTTCCCTATATGCATATCGTAAAAACTTAAAAATCTTCTTTTAAAGAACCATAAGAGCTAGAGCTTAGATATTTGGCATGAAACATCTTCTAGTGAATGTCTACCAAGTTTGTCCAAATAAAAGCCCTGGGGTCAAAATTGACCCCGCCCCGGGGGTCATTGATTTTCCGTATATGCATATAGTAAAAAGTTAAAAAATCTTCTTTTAAAGAACCCAAAGAGCTAGAGCTAAGATATTTAGCATAAAACATCTTCTAATGAGTGTCTACCAAGTTTGTTCAAATAAAAGCCCTGGGGTCAAAATTGGCCCCGCCCCAGGGGGGTCATTGATTTTCCCTATATGCATATAGTAAAAACTTAAAAAATCTTCTTTTAAAGAACTCAATAAGCTAGAGCTAAGATATTTAGCATTAAACATGTTCTAATGGGTGTCTACCAAGTATGTTCAAATAAAAGCCCTGGGGTCAAAACTGGCCCCGCCCGGGGGGGGGGGGTCATTGATTTTCCTTATATGTGTATAGCAAAAACTTAAAAATCTTCTTTTTAAAAAACCCAAATAGCTACAGTTTAGATATTAAGCATGAAACATCTTTAAGTAAATATCTACAAAGTTTGTTCAAATAAAAGCCCGGGGGTCAAAACTGGCCCTGCCCCAGGGGTGTCATTGTTTTTAACTATATGTGTATAGTTAAAACTTTAAAAATCTTCTTTTAAAAAACCCAATGAGCTAGAACTTAGATGTTTAGCATGAAACATCTTCTTATGGGTGTCAAGTCTGTTCAAATAAACAAATAAAAGCCCTTGGGTAAAAATTGGCCCGGGGGTGGGGGGGGGGCCTATATACAGGTGAGCGACCTCAGGGCCATCATGGCCCTCTTGTTTCAGTACATGTACTTCATTCTTAATAATTCTAGTAAAATACTTTGATAAAAACTTACTCTTCTCAATTTAAATGTTCACGAGAATGTTGGCCCTCCCCTTTTTGAAACACCCCTATTTTCCCCAAAATTTGACAGAATAAAATCCAAAGTTATCTGATATCAAATTTTTTCGACTTTTTGTTCAAGTTTACATGTAACATAAAATTCAGTGTGCATCTTTAATGCAGCTGTTTTTACCTGTGATTTCTTATCAATTTAAATGTTCCTAGAGTTTTTAGTAGATATATATATAAAACTGGTTAAAGATATAAACTTTTTACTAAATCATCTCCATTTTGTAAAAAAAATGTCATGAAAAATTATGAATCAGAATGTAGATATCTTTAAGTTTGTTAATGCTAGTACTAGTATTAGATGAAATGTTTAATGTATTTTTTAAGGATATTATCTGGCATAAAAAAGTACCATATTGTTATAATGCCACTTTCCTGTCCATGACTGTAACTGTGTATGTGGTCTTATGGTACCATGTTCTCCTTGTGTAGTTTAAATACCTTTGTGGGTCATATCAAAGAACTTTGATAATTATTAAACTGGTGGCAGCAATGATAGTGATTGTAGAGGCCCTTGATCAGGATTTTATGTCAGGTTATGCCACAAATTATTAATTTGGCAAGTATTAACTAAGTTTCAAAATCTTTCACTTAAATGCTTGATAGGGGGCATCTGTGGTTGAGTGGGTTCAGGTTGTTGACTTCAAGCCACTTGGCTTAATTATTAATACATGTACATGTATGTATTGTGAGGAAGCTATCCAGCTAGCTTACAGAATGTTTTACTCAGGTGCCATTGTGTGTGCCTAAAATAATGCACGGAAGGGCACCTGAGGTTTTCCTTCACCAGTAAAAGCTGGAATGTTGCCGTATGACATATGTATTTCCAACCAAAGAAAAAAAAAACAAAACAACTTATATCATTTGCAAGTTGAAATATCTTCAGTTACATGTTTTTTACATACTCAAAGTCTTGTTCAACTGATTAGTATGTCATCAGGGGGATTATGCCTGCTCCTTGGCAAGTGCTCAATTCAAACTGCAGCATGACTCCATAACCCCAGATGGTCACTAACTAATACATGTCTTCCTGCAGGCACTTGTTGCTCAGCATTTAAATTAAGTATTGGTGAGTGTGTCCAAAGCCATGATGTTTGTTCTTAGGTCTGAAATAATGTATTGAGGGGCAGACTTCGTTAAAGCCCTCCATCAAAGCCTGAAAGACATCATATGATTGTAACAGTGTGTTAATGATCTAAAACCATTATTTCCTTCCAACTCTTCTCCTATGAAATATCCATTTATATTAATTTATAGCAATGAAAAAAAAACAAACAAAAAAAAAACATCTGAAATGTACGTTCTAAAGAAGCACTACTGTTTGTCTTAAAACGCCTTTATTATATTTGTATATTAAGTAGTAGTTTGCTTTCCATTTTTCATAATCAAGTTGAGTTTTGTTTACCCAATGTAAATTACATGTGCATGATAATCATTTGCCACAGAATTTCATAACTTTCTTGGTCATTAATCTTAATGCAGTATAAGAAATAGCTAGGGTAAAATACAAACAACAACCTCCTACATCTCCATCCACCTGTTAAACATAGACATGCTGCATGTAGCTTGTACTGTAATCATATTTTCACGTTTCTGTTAAAATAATATTAAAGATGATGATTTGTGTTCAACCCATGTAAATTGAATGATTATACAGCTCGAAATGAATGTTGTGGCAATTAAACAATTAAGTAGCGTCAGGAAATAGAGCAATTATTGCAATTATTGCAAATAGAACACCAATATTATATAAGCATTTCTATATGTTTTAGGCCACTTATGATTCGGATAGTCATATTGATATTTTGTTTACCCCCATGAAAATTATATAGAGTCATTTACAGGTACACTAGGTGTACATGACTCTGTATGTTTAAAAAAAAAAGGTAAATGAAGTTTTTATTTCAACAATGCCCTAAACTTCCTCCTATGAATTACTGAGTTACAACATTGCTGCTTTGGTGTATATAGAAAAGCTGATTATGACTTGTCTCTGTTGTAGAGTTGTTTCGGCTAGTTTTCATTTTATATTCCACATAGTTGCCCTCTAGTATAATAGTGTTGTTACTGGCAGACTCACTGTTTTTCTGAAACCATCAGGTGGTCCAAGTGAGAGAGAGAGAGATGGGGAGAGAGAGAGAGAGAAAAAAGATAACACATTTACATTCCTTGATGCAAAAATACTTGAGTGTTTGATTAAATCTAGCAATGTTTTGGCTGTTTCAGCCTGGCAATCTGATAAATGAGATGTACAGCTTCTTTTGACTTGGAAATGTTTTAGTTTATAAAGAAGTGTTGGGAAACACACAGCTGTTTTATTTTTAGAGAATTAAGTCATCAGCTGGGATATTTGCTTTGATGAATTTCTTGTTGATTAAAGAATGAAAATTTGTTAGTGTGTGTTGTCGATTCTAGGACAATGGTTCTTATAATTGTGTGGGATAAATGGAAAGTTTAACTTATGTCAGCAAGATTGTGCAGTGGTATTATATTGTATTGTTGGATTACGTAACTAAAAAAAGTGACTCATCTTTATACTGTTGTGCTTTTAATTGGAATTGTTTAATTTTCTGTATATTAAAGAGACTATAAATTTTCATGTATAATCATGGAATGAAATATAAAATTTCATTGTTCAAAGATTAAAAATTGAAAAAAATTTTGTGTCCATTGAATGATTGGTGTTTATAACAGAATTGTTTGTTTGGCTTTATAAAATAAAGACATATAGATTCCATACATAATTATATATCCATACAGATTACAATATTATGATGATTACTTTAATTATGTAAGTGCAGTGTTAAGTTTCGAAAACTCAATGCCTGTACTGGAATATGAAATATGTGAATTTATTTTAATTGGATATAAGAAAAATGTTTGTATCATACTCGTAGAAGGACTAATATCTTTTCTTGTTGTATTAGCGATACACAAACATTCTCAATGGCTCTTCTGAAAACACCATTGTCTCCGAAATTGGACAAAATTGGCGTTAAGTTCCATCTTCCACAGAGTCAACAAACTGCACTCATACCTCAGGTGATCTGGGTTTTTTTATAACAAATCTTATATTTATATATCATAATTGCTTGAAATTTGTTTGAGCCTCTTTTATTGAAAAAGAAACTCATAGCTGAAATATATGAGCCGCGTCACGACAAAACCAATGTTATGCGTTTGCGACCAGCATGGATCTGTGCAGTCTGATCAGGATCCATGCTGGTCGGTATCAGTTTCTCTACTTGTAATAGAGTTGGTAAGCGAACAGTATTGATCCTGATCAGACTGCGTGGATGCGCAGGCTGGTCTGGATCCATGCTGGTCGCTAACGCATAACGTTGCTTTTGTCGTGACACGGCTCAATTATATCATTTTGAATAAAATTTTCATTTTGAATAAAATTGGTAATATTTACAGTTACAGTTAAGTCTTTCAGTTCTACAGTGGTAAGTCATTTCTTAAACACTTAAATTAAATAATATTTAATAGGTAATTGATGTAACCTTCAGTAAAAGCCATGCATGATTTGAATCAACCACCTGTGCCTACCCATTAGGCATAATTATGATTTATATATTCAATTAAATTTGTAATGTGAAATTAAAAATAATTACACTAAGGTTAATGCCCACTTGTGATATATGTTTTACAACTGTAATATTGTGCCAAGTCCAAAAGTTGTTGGTTATTGGGTCTGTTTAATAGGATGTTTGATGCAATCGGCTCTGTTTCTAACAATCCAATGACCCATGACTGTGAATGTATAGTATAAATTATGAACTACAGAGTAGCAATGAACTAATATGATGGACTAAAACTATGAAATAGGACATTATCATGAACTTTCAGTATTTAAGTAAATGTCTAAATATTGTAAATGACTGTACATATCTTACATGTTTACTTATAATATTTAGTTGATTCAATAGTGGTCAAACAATAATAATGATGCACTTTTTTTGTGTGCTTAAACATGTGCTGAAGCTGAAGGGCGCATTTAAAGCATGTACGACTGGGCGAGGGATTTAATAAGATTTCGTGTGAGTGTTTCTGCAGGTATTAACTAATCAAACTAATCTGGAGTTTCATATCCAAAGGCTTAATATTGATTTGACTATAAGAATTGCCAGAAGTGGTGGAGTTGAAGCCCAACTTTCACATTGGCACAAATGGTTGACCTGACTTTATGATAAGACATTGGAAGTGGGTAACTAAGCTGAATCATGTCACATAGACACTGGAAGTGGGTAACTTAGCTGGATAATCACATTGACAGTTGGTGTGTGTAAGACACTCGAAGTTGTGGACTTAAATTATTATTGCATGTACTGAACTTGTCTTTGACATTTACACTAATTAGTTGATCTTTTTCATGACTTTCAATTGATCTTTTTTATAAACTAATATGGCAATACATGTATAAACTAGGCCAGATTTTCACATGGAGGCTTAATACTTGATATAGACACAAGAAGTTGTAAAAGAAGCCTGTCCTCACATGACACATAGTAAATGAGTTTTTTAAGAAATCAACAATGACAAACTTAATTGAAAGCTGAATTTTCATATTACATTTGAGCGGCGTCATGACAAAACCAATATAATGGGTTTACGACCAGCATGGATCCAGACCAGCCTGCGCATCCGCGCAGTCTGATCAGGATCCTTGCTGTTCCCTTACCAACCCTATTACAAGACTTAGTAGAGAAACTGATAGCGAACAGCATGGATCCTGATCAGACTGCACGGATGCGCAGGCTGGTCTGGATCCATGCTGGTCACAAACGCACTATGTTGGTTTTGGCATGACGCGGCTCATTTTATTTGTATAATATTAATGATATGGACATGAATGATGTAACACTGAGTTGGATTTAAGGACCTAATAATATGCCGATGTTTCGAGAAAAACCATTGTAACAGTTTAGAATTAAACCTATAAGCTGCCATTCAAACGGACTTAGCTGTCATAATTTCTAAGTTTACTCATTCATGAAGATAAAAATTATCTTATCTAGAGAAATTTATGATTATCATGGGGTAAATTTATTTGACTAAATCAAAAGCTTTCAAACCTTGGTCCATTATTTCTTAAAAAGCGAGTTAATTGTTAAAAATGTATGTACTACACTTCAGGAAAAAAAGACACCCTTAGTGTACGAACAAATTATTGGTTAAGTAGTTTAGTTAATAAGGAAATAACATAATTATCTGAAAAGAATGTGTTTTTTCTGCATGCTACAGTATCAGGCACTTGAAGTAACCTGTTTATCAGGTTGTTTAAGATAGTGTTCAATTAGGGCTAATGAGCTCCAATTATTGACAAATTAAAGTCTGTGCATCATTTAGTTTAAGTGTTTGAAGATACAGACCATCTGTAATAAAACTTTTCCTCCCTTTACTGTAATAATTCTTACCTCTGAACCATTTGAGCCGCGTCATGACAAAACCAACATTGTGCGTTTGCGACCAGCATGGATCCAGATCAGCCTGCGCATCTGCGCAGTCTGATCAGGATCCATGCTGTTCGCTTACCAACTCTATAACAAGCAGACAAACTGATAGCGAACATCATGGATCCTGATCAGACTGCGCGGATGCGCAGGCTGGTCTGGATCCATGCTGGTCGCAAACCCATTATGTTAGTTTTGTTGTGAAGCGGCTCAAATATAACTGTAAGAACCATAATGAAGAGGATTATGGTACATGTAATATACACCTTTCTTAAATGTATGTATGTATGCTCTGAAGTTAAGCTGTTATAATATTAATAAATGTGGTAGTGGGTGGTGGGGATTTATTAATGGTTGGGTGGGGGTGGCCGGTAACTTCATTTAGGATGATGTGTATTTGATTCAGTTGAATGGTTAGAGGATGCTATGGTTTTAAAATAGGAAGTAAAAATTAGGGAGTGATAAAAGTGAAGTGTCATACGATTTTCAATGCATTTAACAGAAATAAATTACTAGTTAATGATTAAAGCTGAATATTTGTTGGAAGATTTTTCTCCATTTTTCTTTCACATTGAAAATTACAACATTATAGTGGGAAGGTCTTACTGATAAGACTTTTGTGGCAGCCAGGTGCAAAAATCATTATTTTTTAGCCAATAGAAAGAATTTATAACCTCCTTAAGTTTCCTTTATAAGATAAGAGACGGGTATATAGTCACAAAGTAGCTGGATTCTGATCCATTTTCCACCGGCTTAATGTAACTCATGTATACACATGTACATGTATAATATATCTTAAAGGCAAGTTAGTGATAAGCCATGTTTTCAAGGAAAATAATTTGTAAATCTCTCAATAAATGTAGAGATTAGAGGGAGATAAAACATTTTTTTCCTAGGCCTGTAGAACAGGTATAAGCATATAGTTACCTGATTTTTTTATAGTTTAAAATACTAGATGAATCAGGGGAAATTGGACTTCTTTAATTTTGTTCTGTTTATTGTGGGGCTAAGATGAAGAAGATAAGGGTTACATCATGCATATGGAAGTTATGTTCAGATAGAAGTTATGTTCGATCAGATAAGACATCAGATTTAATTTAAACAAAAATTTTGTGTTCATGATTCACAGCATGAATTTCTATCATTTTTGTTTAAAAGAAGTCCAAAGAGTTAGATCCCTTTTGTCCTTGGTTTGAAGGAGTGATATCCCCTTTGTTGTCAATTCCATTTAAGGAGTTTCAAATGGCTATGCCATTTTTGTTGTAGATCCTCTATTTCAGAAAGTTTCATTTCTTTTCTTAGTTTGTAGTGTCCGTTTTGTTTCAATACAAAATATTGTCAACTTTAAGTGCAATAACTCAGTTAACTCCTATTAAATTTAGAAGGACGTAACCTGTTACTGCACTTAGGTGACAAAGTTTAAGGTGACGAAATTTATTATGTGACTTACATCATATCAAGAATAATTTTTTTGCAGAGTAGTTCACCATTTGTAAATTAGTAAAATTCACAGGTCTTATAAAAAGCAATTTCTGCGTTTCAAGTGCTGTGATGTGATATTTTATCTATGGTATATTTTCCTTTTGATTGTATTTTAACTTATTTTTCTACATGCTCTATTATTATTTTTGTATCATAGTTAATAATGGGGACCTTTCTGTTGAAAATTTGTTGGGGTTAAATCGTATACATATACATGTACGGTGCCGTAACTGGAGTGCAGGAATTAGTTACCCGCACTCCAGAGCATGCCCATTGATTGGCTCATTTTTGCTGGGGTTTACTTATTATGACAGCAGAGCAAGGAAAAGGGATAGAAATATCATATTCAGCTGCTTGTTCATTGGTTACTTTTTTCTGGTGTTTAATATTGTTACAACAGGGAACGTGTTTTTATGTTTGACTATGATACAAAAGAGAAAGAACAACAAAACACTAGGGAATCTAATTAATACTCGGGGGGCTAGGCCCCTCGTACAAATCAGATAGCCTTGTGTTTCGATGCTCTTTCTATTACTTAAAAGTGTGTTTGGCCTCTTTAAATCTTAAGTAACATTTAAGATATACATGTATGTATAAAGCATGATTAATTTATGCTATAAACAAAGGCATCAAAGAAATGTCTCAGAATGTGTGATGAGCCATGATCTGATGATAAGCAATGAATTTTGTTTTCCTGCTTTTTCAATTGAAGTTCAGAGATAAGAACAAATAGGATGTGGGGAAGAGAGATACAAGTGTTTGTTAAGTAAAGCAGTATATAAATAGATACATGACCAGTATAATGATAGATTAGTAAGATCATAATGAACAGTGGTACTACATCATATACCAATTACTCACTTGTATTCTACCATTATATACATGACTCATTTACAACAACAGCTTACCTTTGTTTACCTTCGACCAAGTTGAAGAAAAATAGTTTAGGGTTTATGACTTGATTATAACCTTTTAAATGTTCTCTTATTTTACTGATATTTTATTTTTGCAAGTGTGCAGTGTGATTCTTAACAAATACATAAGCCAAAGTATTAAAAAAATGAATAATTGTAAATTAATACAAATGATTTTTAAACTGGACCTCAGCAAAAGTGGGTTTTTCCTATCTAATTTAATCCCAGAACAAACAAATTTTTAGTTATTTTTAAGCTTCACAGTGCATTAATGTTCACAAAAAAGTGATCTGACCATTTTGCATTTATTATCAAAATATTTTCCATGTTTTTACTTGGTACAAGATTGTTTGTACCCCAAGATAAAGATGGGGGGAAACCTAGTCCAGCAAATTGTGCACTTTGGGGCTTTTTTATTATAAAGACGATGGTCGCCCCTTTGGTGGTCGCCCTTCGTAAAGATAGACATTTGTGAAATATCAGATTATAAAATCGGTGGGGTGTTTGAGTATCACATATTGTACAGTGTAGGTAAAAGTACCACTTATTATTAATTAATACTAATTGCCAAAGTTTCATTACATGTATTTAGCTAAAATCTTACTTATAGTTATACAATCATGTAGTTTTATATGGTCTGAGCTTAAAGTACATTATAAGTTTTATATTTGCCCACTTTATATTGTTGGACAAACATAATTATAAAGTTAAGGTTTTGATTCATTACAGGTGTAAAATCATGGTCGAAAATGCCTGAGGTGTTTCTGTTGCCAAAAAGGTGTCATTATTCAGTTACCTTTATGTTAAAGATATGGTTAATGAACTTCTGACCATAGTATTATTTCTGGAAATGATAACAACATGTAAATTGATAACCAATGTTTTGGTTAATAGGTTTACATATGTATAGCTTCAAAACAACAATAAAAAATATTTTTTTATCAGTCTACATATTTCGCTTCAATAATATCAGGCTAATTGAGAACCTGTTGCAAGCATCAGTAAGTACAAGATATGGGTTATTCTTGTTATACAATGTCGGACAGACTAGGTGCCTATTCAGTATAGTTATTATCATTTGTCCAGGTCAATCTTGAAGTATTATATTAACCAGCAGAAACAGACAAATCTCTGGCTTGTTTCTGATATTTACATGTATAAGAAAAATTAGGCATTTTTATATTAATATATCTTAATAAAAGTCTTTAGCTTCTTCAAAATTTGAAGTTTCTTATGTTTTGCAATACAGTTAGCATAATTATACAAACAGTAAAAAAAAGCTACATGAACCATACATTGCTTAACAGAATTCTGTCAAATTTTGGATACCGTGCTGTTGAACTTAAATTCCTCAACAATACTTTTGCTCAATTGTATCATTGATATGCTTTGCACTGAATCAATGACAGCTCTACTTCCAATGTCACAGATTTTGCAGTCTTTGACTACAAAATTTTGAAAATTAATGGAAGCCCTGACTCATAATAATATGAATATTGTAATATAAAAGTGTTTAATTTTATTAATTTTATTATGTTATTATATATTAATATTTTCAGGAATGTTCAATGAGTGTTGCAGCTAACATGGGAGAAACAGACCAGTGGGTGATCGCCAAGTATGACTACAAGGCAGAGAATAGCAAAGAGCTGGACATGAAAAAGAATGAGAAACTCATTCTTGTTGACGATACCAAAGAATGGTGGATGGTTCAAAATAGCCGGAACAAATCCGGTTATGTGCCATCAAATTACGTTAAACGATCAAAACCCTCATTTTTCTCTAGTCTAAAAAGTACTCTTGGTCGGAAGCATAAAAATGAATCAAAAGGGGTAGGTAGTCCAGTTGTGAGTAGAAACGGCAGTAGTTCCGGTCTTGGAGCACTGCCGCTTCCACCATCGGACACTGGAAGTGATAAAAATAGCACAAATAGTGATAATGTTCAGGTGTGTGATCCGGTTCAACCAGCGTTTGTGAAATATAATTATACAGCTCAGCAACAAGATGAGCTGTCATTGACAAAAGGTGAAACTGTAGTGGTGCTAGAAAAGTCAAGTGATGGATGGTGGAATGGCCGGAAAGGTAACTCAACTGGCTGGTTTCCATCAAATTATGTGGAATTACAAACTCATACAAATGATAATGCAGAAATGACAGGCTATACAACGGCAGCGTCATTAGACATTGCAACCTCGCAAGAAATTGTGACTGCTTTATATAGCTTTTCTGGAACAACCGGTGAAGAGCTAAGTTTTGAAAAGGGAGATAAACTTGTTATAATAGACAAGCCACCAGAGGACCCGGAATGGTGGCGAGCGCGGAATTCTCGAGGTGAAGTAGGGTTAGTGCCAAGAAACTATGTTCAAATTGTTGAAGAAGGGGGTAGTGATATATCTGCCACAAACAGTTCTTGTACCCCTCAGTCCCAGTCCACTAGTAGTCTGTCAAATACTTCCAGTTTAGGGGCCAGTGGGAGAAAACAATTCTGTGTCTCTGGACCCCTCTCTGACAAAGATTGGTATTACGGGAAAATAACACGGCAACAATGTGAAGAAATGTTATTGAAGTATGCAGGTGATGGAGATTTCATCATTAGGGATAGTGAATCTACTGTAAGTATAAAATAATAATAATGGTCATTATGTTAATTTTCTTGTGGCTAATATTTAGATATTACAATATGCATTTGAAACAATATTTACTGAATGCAACAAAGTTCTGTTTTGGACAATTTCAAATTAATTCCTTTGTGTTGAACTAAGCAATCAATTCTGAACTAAAAATGCTGATTTCCAAACTTAATATTACAATAACAGTGGCATTGGTATCTTCAAAATAACATCTATAATGTGGTACTGGAAAATGAATTAGTTTTAATTTATTTATTTTGATGTAGTAATGTGTTTGGATAATGTCATTCATTGCTAAAATTGTCCTGAATTTCACTGAAATAGAACACAGGTTTGTGAATTATTTATAAACTGTTAAACATTATACATTTTGCTGGTCTTTCTTGTTTTTATTTTGGTAGGGGGACTTTATTGTATAAAAACAACTCTCCACTTGACATTTATGCTGGTAGTTGACATTAAACATCAATAATTACATATTAATTGGTACATCTATGTTTACAAATAGTTAAGCTTAACTACAGTATTACATTTGTCACATCTTCCTTGCTGAACAATCTGATTATTTCTACATAATTGCAGTTTTTTGTCCCATTAGTAAATAAGTAAAGATTATATACTAATTGAATAAGTCAGTTGCTTGTTAATTGATACAAATGTACTTTAAACGGAAGTGGGTGTGGTAATAGATACTAGTAAACATTTACAAATATAACTCAACTAGGATACATAAATATCTTTGTCTGTTTAAGATATTTGTTTGTGATCATTATGTTTCATATCAAAACACTAATCAAGAAAGTCCATGTTAACATACTAGGTATATAAGCATGAATTTTGTAAACAAAAGTTCACTGTTTGTTGAATGAGTCAAAAGGTTACCACTCCATTTTGATACAGAAAGCACATGGATAACTCAGGGCTCATCCTGGGGAGAAATTTTAGGGAGAAGTGACTTCCTCGCAAAAATTAGGAAGAAGGGAAACAACCCAATGTGTATGCATTAAAAAGCATGGCTATACATCCTTAACATTATGTAAACACAATTAACAACACTTATAAAATTTCTACTATTTTTTAATTAATTTTATAACTATAAATATATGTATATTGTATCAATATCAAACAATCATCAAAACAATTATCAATATACAGTCGACTCTCGTTATCTCGAAGTCATTGGGACCGTCCAAAAAATATCGAGATAACGAAATGTCGAGATAAACAAATTAGGGTTAGAACAAGGCGAAACTGATTTTTACAAAAGACATGTGCATACCTTATGTCAAATAAACTATAATATCCCCATGTCTTGTTTTCATAGGCCTAGTCAATATTTAACAAAGTAACATAAGCGGATGTTTACCAGCGGAAATACGGGTGTCTGTGATAAAAACACATAGTGAGGTTTACTCAGTAATACACAAATATAGTGAATCGGATATGGTTGATCCGGATATCCTCCCGGGTTATTTATCGGGTCTTTCTCGAGATTGTCCCACCGCTGATTGATTTGGTGGTGATGTTGTGAAACAATATTGCAACGATAGCGTTTCTATACTTTCACTTTTTCATTTACATTTAAAGTCATAATGAATTGATACAGTGTTCGAATATTTAAAAAGAATGTAAAATTCACACATTGTGGACATAAGTCAATCAACACGCTAAATAGTTTAACTTTTATAAAAACAGCTAAACTTGTTACAAACATAATCGTCATTATGACACGCGCTATTAATTGAGCAATTATCGTCTAGATTGTGTTTTTCACACGTCTGAAGGGAACAGACGAAGTCGAGATAAACAAAGGATAGTAGTGTGAAAATAACTGTTGGGGCTGAAATTTTACATCGAGATACTGAAAATATCGAAATAGAAATATCGAGATAAACAAATATTTCCAATATAGATAAAGAAGGAAGAAAATCGGGACTTTCAAAATTTCATTGAGATAACGAAATATCGAGAAAAGCGATGTCGAGATAACGATAGTTGACTGTACTTTAAAGGGGCTCCACTGAGGTTTAAAAACCTAAAAACATAACATTAGAATTTCTAACATAAATGAACTGGGTGCTTTAAACAGAATTATATGCAAAGATAGTTAAGAAATATACTTTAAAATAAATAGAAAATCGTAGTTTTATGCTTTTCTTAGCCTAATTTGAGTGAAAAGCGTTTAACGCTTTTCATTTTGGGTCATTTTTTTACAATTTGAATAATTATTATGGAAAAACGAAGTGCGAGAATGATCTGAAAGTTTGCACAAAGTTTCATGGTCTACACCTACATCAAATGGTACATTTATCTGGAAAAAACATTTTCAGTCCCATCATGTCAAAAAACCTCAGTGGAGTCCCTTTAATAGATATTTATATTTCAGTTGTCAAGTATTAAAAGATAAAATTTTGTCAGTAGTTTAACTTGTTCATACAGATAATCATTCTTGTCCGCAAGTTTGCCATGTTTTGTATTACTGGCTACAGTGCATTATTTTTCTTTTTATTTATCTATACAAGTATATCTATCTATTTATAATGGATGAAAGGATTAAATGAACATTTTCTACACTTTGATTGTTTATCAATATTTAAAGCCTTATTTATCTGATTGTTGATGAAAGAGGCTGCATACCTGAAATTAGTAGGTTTTTGATAAATTTTTTAACTTGTTCCGTCATTGCATGCTCCTCTTATATTTTAAGTAACTGTAGTTATTTGTCTGATTATTATTAGTGCTTCGAGCATGTTCTAATATGTACATGTTGAAAATTACATTATAACCAGTTGTAATTTAATATTACCTTGTTTAGATAACATAAACGTGTCTCAGAATTTGTGACAGATATGATAGATGCTCGTCTGTCACCTATACATTATATTATGCCACATTCTCATATCATATCTGTATTTTCAGGCTGGGCATTACACTGTGGTATTAAAAGCACCAGACAGGAACAAACATTTTCGTGTGCAAGTAAATGAAGGACTCTATCATATTGGAGCGCAAAAATTCATTTCAATGGACGATCTTATAGAACATTACAAAAAGCACCCGATCTACAAGTCAGACACTGAAAAATTGTACCTCATTAAAGCATTTACCTACCCTTCAGATTTCTGATGTTAAATAAAAAGAAACATGCACTTCCAAATTCCTAATGATCATAATTTGCAATAAATGTAATAAGTCACTCCTTCAAATATATTTATGCATTTCATCAGAGGAAATTCTCCCAGATCTTGAGACAATATAACGAATCAAATGTGATATGTATGTTACTTAAAATATAAATGAACTTCACAAAAGGAGATTGCTATAAGAATGTGAATTCAGTTTGTGAGTTGATAAAGAGTTACAACCCTTTGCACATATTTAGGAATGGTGGAAGAGGCATTATGGGTATGAAGCTGCAATTTATTGACCAATGAAGGGAGAGGAATGACTAGGATGTGAAGATAGGGCCAAAGATATAATAAAACTTTGTATTAAATTGTAAATTTTACACTGATACATGTATAAATGGTTCTGTTATTGAGTATTGAGACTGTAGTAGCTTTTTTGCCCAGTTTTAAGGCAAGGGAAGGTTGGAACATAAAAATTACTTTAAAATAAGCATACATCTATTTAAAAAAACAAAAACAATTAAGATGCTTAAGTAAAAATAGACTCTTGTTTATTTTTATTGCAATCAAAATAGAAATTATTCATTGAAATTGATTTGTCACAAAAGGGAATGGTGTCCTAGCTAAAAAATTTTGCTTGTTACTGGATAGTATTTGAGCCGCGTCATGACAAAACCAACATAGTGCATTTGCAACCAGCATGGATCCAGACCAGCCTGCGCATCTGGGCAGTCTGATCAGGATCCATGCTGTTCGCTATCAGTTTCTCTACTTGCTATAGGGTTTGTAAGCGAATAGCATGGATCCTGATCAGACTGCGCAGATGCACAGGCTGGTCTGGATCCATGCGGATCGCAAACCCATTATGTTGGTTTTGTTGTGACGCGGCTCATTTATATATTTTTATTATAATTTCTTTACTGATGAGTTAGAAGCAGAGCTTTTAGTTTAGTTGATTATTTGAAATAATGATTATTTTTTACAGGGAGCTCTTACTTTGTGCTATTTTATCTTTTGATAAAACATCTTTTTGCTTACCTTAATAAGGTCTTCCATAAAACGTGATTCTCAGCAGTTTTAGGCTGTTCCATTCTTAAAAATAATAGTTTATGAAAATGGAGACAGGCTAAGAAGACATGTAATGGAGTTGTGTATTTAGATTATTTTGATATATATTCCTTTATAAAAAAAAGAATTTATTTGTTTTTTAAGAAAGAAATGATATAGATGATTATTATTTATATAATAATTTATGTAAAAGAAAATTTTTTAATTTTTAAAATTGAAGACATACCTGTGCTGAACATATTTACTCTGATAAAGTTTGTTTAACTTAAATATATTTTTTTTTTTTGTGTGTGATTTGTGATTTACCAATATGTGCTTAGTTTTCCAGACAGGTTGTGATTTAATATTACAGTACTGTATATATACTCCGGGGAACATAATAAAATAACAAGCAACTGTAAGCCTTATCTTCCTGTAGGGTTTGCACAGGTCTTGAAAAAGTGTTGGAAAACAATCTCTGTCTTGAAAAGTGCTTGAATTAAGGGTGTCCTTGAAAAAGTGCTTAAAAAGGGATTGATTTTGAAAAAAAATCCTTAAAAATCTCTGATTCTTGTAAAAATAACACTGATCATCAATTAACTAAGAAATTTGAACCATTTTTGTCAAACCCAGGCGTAGGCACTGCCATATTGTCTTGTTGCAAAAGGGTACTGTTTCTAAACAGTTTAAAATAAGGGAAATATAAGCCAACTGGCGTAAGTTTTGAAGAGACTTTTAGTAGTTAAATTGTCTTGACATAATGTTATAAAATTTATCATATGTGATTTTTTGTTATAAAGGCATTTGAACACTACACTTGTGGATTGATATGTTGTCATTGGATACCAAAATAAGATCACTTATCAATGTGATAGTTGCTTGTCCATTATATTATGTTACAGTTTATAATACTGCACATTAGTAACATTGCTTTTCATTGGATAATTGTGATGTTTATAAAATCTAATACATGGCTCCAGTCTATTTATCGAGTAATTTCATTTTTTATCTCTCTAAAAATAAGTAATGGCAGTAGTATAAATTTGTTATAAAGATTTTTGACAGGTTACTGTATATGGCTGTGTATAAACAGTTATTTGCAATATAACCCTCACCTTGTCGCTTGGGATATATATACAAACAACCATTTATATAGGGCCATATAACCTATTATAAGTCTTAATAACTGATACTATATATGGTAACTTACATGTACACACTGTTAATGATGTCAAATATCCAATGGTCAAGTGTCACATTGTTATGAATAACTACTTCACACGAGTTGATGATATCTCTTAATGTCCAAGAAAGAAATCACTGAGTCGTTAAAATAAATAATTTTGGTTTGAGTCTAACTCTAATTTTTGATTGGGCAATTTCAATTAATAAAGCACTAAGTTTTAATTAGTTCCAGGAAATGAACATTACCTATGATTAAGATAATCTCTGAAATTTCTATGCTGTCAATTATCTGTTAGAATATACATGTACCTTAAACTGTTCTAAATTTCTTTATGAGCAACATTCATGTACAATAAAAATTAATGTGAAATGATGAACAGGAATGTCTAGATTTCATTGAAACTGGCTGTCATTTTTATATGATAACAATTTTCCATTAATTTACCCCCATGGAATATATGGATAAACAGAGATAATTATCATCCAATGAATATAAATACAATTGGTCATTAGAGAAGCATATCAAGAACTTGATTTTGTCACAAAGTTGTTTAACCTTTTACCCCATGAGCACATTGTGATAGATGGCCATTTTCATTGAAAAGCCTCCTGTTACAAGTTCCAACTGCTATAAAATTATGAAAAATGCTTCAATACTGATGAAACTTGGCACATATGTTGACTGAACCATAACCTCTGTAACAACATGCTCAATCTTAAATTTTCTGTTACCATGGCAATGGGGGAAAATTTCAAAATTGCGAATAATTCACCATTTTGCATTGTTTTTTTTTCCATCAAAACTGATTTCAAAGTGCTGCAACTTCTCAATGCAATGAGATAGAGTAAAAGGCTTTTCAGCATTGGTTACATGTCACCTTAAGTTCGACCTGAGGCCATTTTTAGCCTGTCACATGTCCAAAATTTTCTTGGCGATGAGGGGGACTTGTAACCGCCCCCCTTCAAACCCCCAAAACAGAAGGAAGCACATCCCCCTTATGGCAACCCCCTGATGTATCATTTTGATGGGGGGCAGTGCCGAAAAAGTGGTCACTTTTTTTAACAACATTTCTCAAACAAAAAACAGTGTTTGGGGCCTAAATAGGGCATTTTTTAACTGGTTGAGGCCTCAAAAAGGGGTGGTGGACAAAAAGCTGTCATAACACGTCTATATGACGATACTTTCAGATTTTTTGAGCATTATTATGAAATGTACACAACTTATTGATTTAAACTGATAAAAATTTTGAATTATAAGTTAAATTTGTCTCAGCAGGGTCTTTCAAATTCTGGTCTCAGAAAAACTTAGCTTTGCTGATAAAAACAACTTTTTTCCTTGTATTTGGAAGTTTTGGTGAGTTTTTCTTACTTTTGGCATAAAATGTATTATTGCTCACTGGTGTGGAGAAAAATGTCTATATGGACAAACAGTTAAATGAATTATTCATGTCAAGTTGACAGTACAATATTCCTATTACCATTTATATTCTCTGACAGAGTATATATACCGGTATATATACTAATGTATGTACACAAATTATGTTGTATTATTCTGGAAACTTGCATCATAGAATCTATAATTATGTAAACAAGAAAACTTAAAGATCTACGGAGATAATCACAAAGTTTAAGGGTACACTGGCTCCATTAATAAGCTGCCAACATGTTTACATTGGCACATCATTTCTTCAGAAAATATAGATATTGATAGATAAATACTGAATACCTCCTATTTTTCTTCTATCTTAGCACTCATATATCAAACATTATTAGGTTTTATAAAAATTTCTTAAACTAGAATCATATCACAATTTCTAGATTTTTGCTTTGCTTTGATGCACAAATATTCAAGTGTTTTTATTATTATTTTTTTTTTTTGTTAAAGTAGTTCTCTAGGTCAAGTATGATTCTAGTCATCAGAATAAAAGTGAAATATTGTAAGATATTAAATGGACTCCACAGTTTTTTTTTGACATGGCGGCACTGGAAACGTTTTCTCAAGATTTTTTTATACCATTATATTATAGCAATAACATGTGTGCAAAGTTTCAGACCATTGGCTGTGACTCCAATTTTCCATACTTCACTTTTATGGTGCAAAATGACCTAAAAAAAGAGAAATTTTTAAATGATTTTACTGCAATCAAGAATTGTACTAAATATTGGATGTTAATTTTATTCTAAGTATATTTCTTAATTATCATTTTCATATTTTTCCATTTTAAGATTCCCAAATTTTATGTTTTTATGCTTATGGACTAAAAAACTGTTGATCTCCGTTATTTTAAATGTGGAACAGGAAAAGTTATTATCGCATGATTTTGAATATTTTACATTCCCCATTAGTACAGTCACTTGTATTGAGTGGAAAATTTTAGAATGAAACATTTCTGAATTTGGTACTTAATGAATATTAAAGATTTTCATTCAAAAAGTGAAAGCAAAATTTAAATGAAAACTGCTAGTGAAAAAATCTGAAGTAACTGTATAACCTTAGACTTAAGACCACCCTGGTTTAGATTTATCCTTATATTACAAATGATTGCTGAAAATAGGTTTATAAACAATCCTGGCTGTGTTTTTATCTTCAGTTTTCCTGTTTAGCTTCTCTTCATAGTACAGATTTGATTGTCTATAGATTTTTAGTATAAGGTAGCAGGCCATTAATGAGATTGTTTTCAACACAAACTTTTGAATCTCATTCAAAATTTTCCTTTCCCAGACATGATAAAACATTGTAATAATTTTTTCCTGTTGTCTATGTCTCCCTATCTGTTATAATTATGTATTCTCTACAATATTTTATAACAATTTTCAAGTAATTTCACATATAATTGAGATACTGAAAGCACTTTTTGTATTGATTTTTAATTTTACTATTATCCAATTTTATGACTTAAAGCTATTCTTGAAGCATTTCAAAGTAGTGAAATATTAAGTATAGACCATTGTAAAGAAAAAAAGATGTTTTGCAATTTTTTTCCCCCATCAAATATTTAATCATTGCCTTGCCTTTATTTTAATGCATATGCGTGTTCAAAGAGCTAACTTAAGATTCTTGTCTATAAATGTTACTTTTAAGAATAGACATGCATTACATTAGTACCACTCTTCTCTTCATCATAGAGAAGAATAGTAACAGAGATTTATTTGTTTAAGCCTTAGTTGTAGAGAAAAAATAG